AGGGAGAGAGATAGAGGGAAGAGAGGGGTGCACGAGCCCAAGCCCGAGCGCAAAGATGCGTGTATCCGGGCGTAGGGAATGTCCACATTCGCACCGTTGGAGGTGCATGAATCTAGCCCCTACCACGTCTAGATTCGTGCACGACACAGATGCGCGGGTGTAGGAGAGAGAGAGGGAGCGAATGGAGAGCTCCCGAGCACTAGATGAAAGAAGAGCGAGATCATTAAGGGGTACGCGTGCGAATGGATGAAGAGACTCCCGCCCATCTATCATCTCGCCAAACTACAACTAAAGGGACGGGCTTGGAGGTATCGGCTGAGAACGAAGCCACCATTAATGGATTAACGAGACTCCCACTGTCCCTATCTGCCATCCCACGAAACTGCGATCATCTGGTTAGTGACGCGCGTGAATGGACAAACGAGATTCCCACTTTCCCTATCTACTTTCCTGCGAAAAGACAGCTAAGGAATCGAGCTTGCATGCCTGTTGAGCCGGACTGCAGCTCGACTCTGCGAAGTGACTTGAGTGGTGTGGGACGAGCGAGAGCGCAGACGGGGGAATCCGTCCGCTTAATCAAGACAAACCATCGCGATGGTTCTGACGGATGCCGACGCATTGTGGATTCTGCTCGGTGATGCGCATGTCAAAGCCAACCTGACTGTTCAATTGGAATAGGGAACGAGACACAGCAATGGTAGAAAACAGTGGGCATCAACGGGATACATAAACTGCACGCCACAGTAATGCTGCCAACGGCAGACTGCGGGTAGTAATGAAGGATTGCAGTCATCAGATTGGACTGGGCGGGATCCGGATCAGACCAGACCGGACCCAACCAGGTCAGAACGGACCAGACCAGACGAAACCAGAACAGACCGGACTCAGAACAGAACAGACAAGACAGGGCCGAGAACAGATCAGACAAGACGAAACCAGAACAGACCGGACTCATAACAGATCAGACAAGACCGGGCTGAGAACGGATCAGACCAGATGAAACCAGATCAGACCGGACTCCGAACAGATCCGACAAGACCGGGCTGAGACCAGATCAGACCAGACCCAGACAGGACCGGACCAAATGAGATCAGACCCAGACCAGAATCAGACCAGACCCAGACAGGACCGGACCAAATGAGATCAGACCCAGACCAGACTCAGACCAGGCCAGACGAGATCAGACAGGGTCAGACAGGACCAACCGATAGGACCAGACCAGACCAAATAAAGATCAAGAACGAGGCCAGGTGCGCACCCGGGTGAATCAAGGAATCGCCTTTCCGACAGTGTTGGGCCTATTTACCGTAGCAAGCCGTTTCTCGGCGAAACCGTGTTCCGTAGGGACTCAGACAGATTTTACAGACTCGTGCTATGGACGAGACCCAGGGCCTCGTCGGCGTGCGAACTTTCATACTATTCTGAATTAAATCAAAACACTCATTTCGATCATTTCTACGATCTGTTTCGTCGTCAGCAGTTCCCTGCCTTATATTGCGGTGTTAGGGTATTTTGGTGATACTGACGAGGTTGATTTCTTGCAGGTTACAGGAGCCCCGATCGACCCTCCCATGGGTGACAGACACGGTGCGAGGTATAGGGTTCGATCGGCGTGCCGGCAGAACCCTTCTACCGGTTGACAGCGCTGAGCCTGCGTTAGGGGGATCTTTTTGGGTGGGGGGCCGTGCTCTTTTTCGTGCGCCGCGCGGAGGCTGTGTTCGTTTTTGCGTTGGCCGCTGTGCTGTTTTGTGATTCGCGCGGGGAGCCTGCGCCGGGGGGCCGGTTCTTTTTGGTCGGGGAGCCGCGCAGGCTGTGTTGGTTTTTGCGTCGACCGCTGCGCTGTTTTTCGGTTCGAGTGCGGGGCCTGCGTTGGGGGGGTGGTTTCAATATGCGTTGATGTAGTCGACGTTGCCATCCCGCCGTTGGTTCATTCTGCGCACGGTGACATCGATATGTGGAGGTGTTGGGGGAGGTGCACGGCGCGGCTATTTAGCTGCGGGAGACGATGCGGGCCGTGCGACTCGTGCGCAATCTGTCGAGAGAGAGAGAGAGAGAGAGAGAGAGAGA